TCTGTGCTATGGTGGGGCCTGAAACCTGACTGAAATTCTTCATAGAGATAATTTTTTTGCAGGAAGGAGCACAATTGAGCAGACACAACTTTTTCTAAAATTTTAGACATAAAAGGAAGATTTAAGATGGGTCTGTAATTTGCATATACTTTATGTAGTAAGTATACAAACATCACTGTACTAGTAGCATACTTGTAAGTGTACTATTTCAATACTCCTTGGGACTAAATTGGCCCACTTTCTAGTATATAAAAGTATACTTTTAAGTATACTTTAAGTATAACAGTAGTAAACTTTGAGGTTGGAGTCGATCAACACCCCAAAGCTTGACAGTCATTACCTCTTCATGGGTCGACATTTTATTCCATAACATTACACAGTTTTGATGCTGTTTTATGTCTGATGATCGTGTTAGATTACGTGTGGAAGCATCTGTTGTTTCGGTTTCTTTTTCGCTTGTGATTTGGAAATTCTGTACAGAATATGTGTAATAGCGCCCCCTACCGGATAACAATGAAAACATGGATTCCCGGAGCACAAGTATAGCTCAAATATATTTAGACTTTAAGTCTAAGTATAAGTCAAGTATACTTAAATGTCATTTTAAGTATATTTCTGAGAAGTACATAAAGCACATTTCTGAGAAGTACATATAAAATAGACTGAAAGTATACTTTCCTTTTTTTTTTAGTTTAAAAGAAGTATACTAATAGTACACTTGAATAAACTTATTTTTTGTAAGGGAAGTGATGTCTAATTTCAGGAATTTTCATAGATGTTTTAAAATTTTTACCCTGCAAAATGTGTGAAGGAATCCAAATACCACGTTCATAAAACCTGCTCTTTTAACAAAAAACATTGGTATTTTCCTCTAAATATTTCCTCTGCATTTCATTGCATGTTTGTTTACATTTAAATAGCATTAAAACCAGAGTAAAAAAGTCATATATTTAAAATACATTTATTTCATACTAAGTATAGTTCAAATCTATTAACATATTTACTGACATATTGCTCGAGACTTACTGATATAAAAATTATAATTAAACTTTATTTGGAGTACTACTTGTGCACAATTCTTAATATTAAGCCTAAAATGTGTCTTAATGTCACTATTGATTGATGGATCTTTGATCTTTGAATAATATCAGTCTTTAAATGCAAGATATTTAAAGTGTGCTTAAGAGTGACATTTCATCATTGCACTTTCTGAATATTTTACAGCTTTCGCTCTGTTCGTGTTAACAGGCCCTAAAAGGCAACACGCTCGGGAACTGCAAATATAGAAAAGCAATCAGATTAGGTTGCTTTTTTTATTTCAGCGTTCTTAGTAAAACTGTGCTATACAGCGTTAATGATTTGGTCCTCCTGTGACATATCCACTGACAGAAACCGAATACAGGGACACATTAATGGCTCATATGCCTCCGGGATATGAATGTAAGAAGTCCACTTGGTCTCAACTGATGTGTAGAGGGGCTTCCACACTCCATAAGCCATCAACTGCTCTTTTCTTTCCTCTCGTCCTAGTGCTTATATATAAACGTGAGCTGTTTTCCATCACAGCTTGCTGGCAGGCGTTCCGTTTGATGCCCTCGACTAAACAGGGAGTTAAGTGTCAGGCCTGCGGCGGTTCTCTCTCGGTGTGCATGTTGTATTGAAATAGTGTGCTTATTGCGCACTCTTGATTGTTTTGTACATCCTTCTTTTACCCTTCCACCTCAATCTTTAGAAGTCTTCCTGCCATTGTCCTTCACTGATCTTTTGCTGTCTCTTTCCCATTACCCCTCTCTTTCTTTGTAGGTAGCCACAGATAAGGACAATGGCATTCTGTTGTATAAAGAGGACCATGACCCACTCGCCCTAGAGCTGTACCAGGGACACATACGTTTGATCTATGATGTTGCCAAGTACCCCCCAACCACAGTGTACAGGTGAGGATACGGCATATACACACACACTTTGTAGGTGATATTTTAAAGAAATAGACACTATCATTAAAGAAAATGTGCAAAAATCGTACCTTTATGTGCACAACACCTGTAGGGGTAGTAGAAAGAGGCATCTTTGTTCTAGGGGTGTGCAATATAGACAAAAACAATTATATCTTTATATTTTGGGGATTTTTTTCAATAACTAAACAATATTTTGCTTAGTGTATATTTATGTTGATACCTTGGCTGGTTTAGGCCTATCATGGATAAATAAATATGACACTAAAACCGCCAGTAGGTGGCAACAATTCCCTGTCTGTATGATTGATTCATTGAATCATTCATTCAAACGATTCATTCAAAACGGCTGATTCATTTAGAAATGAAGCAGGTGGCTGTCTATATGAATGGATGATTGAATCATTCAAACGATTCTTTCAAAACAGATGATTATTTGAAAACAGCTGATTCAAGCTACTGTCTTTATGAGTGGATCATTGAATCACTGACCCAAAAAGTGTTCAAAAGCAGATTCATTCATTATTTTCATTGGTAAAACAGAAAAAAAACAGACATTATTGTGTCTAAAATGTAACTCACTCAATAATAAAATCGTATTTGTTGAACTGTTGTCAAAAATGATCACATTCGCGACCACGCTCACGCAAATATTTCTTGCTTGTGTGATATAACGTAAACGTAATAAAAATATAAAAATACAAAACCCCATACTTTGATATTTTTTTATTTTATAGGGGCATTTTAACTGCATTCTAATAGGCATCATCACACAGTGAATGCTTTTGGACTTTCAAGATGTTTTTTTATTTGTTTTTGCATGTACTCATACATACTCTATCATGTCAGCTTGCATATTGTTTAAACAACAATTACAATATTATCACAGATGATAAATATCGCACACCGTTACTTTTGTACCTTATTTATGCCTAAAAAAGGGGTTACTCTAAGGTACTGCTATGAAACTTTTAGGGGTAGGTAAACTACAGAGTTGTCCTTTTAAGGGTAATTCACCACTGACAAGATGGGCTTTCAATAAAACTTGGCTGTCTATCAGTAGAAAGGCCATTTTTTTAATCGGTGCTGCATAAGCAAACAGAGAAAAAGCGCTCTTGCCAAAAAGTTAGGAAAACACCCATAATGCACTGGGCTCCGACTGTCCATTAGTGGGAATACAAAATGCCTTGGAGTGAAAGTTAATTAAAATTGACTTAAATTTTAATTCATAAATAGTTTAATATAATTGAAAATGGTTTTACCCAATATTTGTGTGTGCTTTGTATATTTATGTTTATGAGAGCATTGCATTGTGAACTACAACATGCTAACAGCAGAATCAGTTGCAGGTCTCCAGTGCGCCTCACATGAGAAATGTTATTTGTGGCTTCCTATGTAGAACATTCCAAATTAGTCACTTAAGAGGTTCCATTTTAGTTACGAAGCTCTCTTAGAAGTCAACGGCCTCTGTAGCTCACCAGGTTTTGTAACAGACCCACAAACACAATCACACTTCTGTTCTACACAGTAAATAAACTCATACAGCCAGCCGTTTTTGCAACACCATAATCTAAATAGACATATGCCACCCTAAATTATTTCAAAACATCAAACATACACACTCATTCATCTTCCATAAAAAATGACTGTTTCAAACTAGGCCCCCTGCTCTCATCCAGAATAGTTCAGGGTGAAAAAGGCGTGTTTGCGGGTAAGTTTGCTCAACGTTCTCAGGGAGGTTTAATCCCTGTAAGCTCGTGGCACATCATAAAACCATATAGGAGCCCCGGGTTTACATGACCTGCTTGAATCTGCCTCGGGCGAGAGCTTACTTCTCTCGCCCGGTTCCCATGTGAACGCTTCTGTGCTGCAGCGCCATGATTTCTATGCTCACTGGAGCCCCCATAAACAGAGCTCTTAGCCCTCACCTCCTGCCCTTTCAGCAGACAACAGGCTTGTTGAGTCTGGCGCAGATGGTGCCTGACTCCGGCCTGGTGGGTCACTGCGGATGTCATTAAGCGAGCAAGGCTCTGTAATGGGTTTCAAGAGCCCAGATTCAAGCTTTTAAATCCAGTCTGCACACAAACCTAATGACAGCATACAGTTTCAAAGCATTTCAAGATCGAAATCGGTGTCCTTGTCTGTTAAGAATGGGAATGTGGCGTAAATCAGGGTCTCTGGCATCTTTTTCATCTGCGTCTGCAGAAGTAGAGCGTGAACGTTTGTGACTGGCAGCTGTTTTAGCAGGTAGTAGACGTGAACAGTGGTGAGCTGGGTGCTCAGGCCGTGCCTGCCTGCTTGATGACTTTGTATTGATCCAGTGCCTCCCTTTGCTGCTGCAGAGGGCCACTCTTCACTTCTGCCTGCAGCAAGGGCTGAATCGATTGCTCTATGAGGGAGTCACAGCATGAAAAATAATGTTTCTATCAGATTCCTTGTCTTTTTGCGAACTGAGAATACATGCACTTAATTCCAGTGTTTCTAGTAGTAAATGCAAGCATGCATTTAGAGCCCTTGCACACTTTTTCTGCCTTTTTTTTTAGAAAAAGATAAAGGGGCCATTTACATGACGTTTTCAGCCAAAAACAGGAAACTTTTTATGCGTTTTGCCTGTTCGTTTACGCGACAACCGCGTTTTGGGGACTGAAAACGCATATTTTTGAAAACGGGTTTCAAAGTGCAAGTTTATTTTGAAAACGCCCCCGTTGTCGTTTCCGTGTAAACACCCAAAACGGGAATCTTTGAAAACGGTGACGTCATGCACGTGCGTAGTACGTGTTAGGTATGTAGACATGCGCAGTACGTGTTGATTTTAAAGGCAAGCGAGAACAAACATACACAACAATGGCAGAGTATTTTGAAAACGGGTTTCAAAGTGCAAGTTTATTTTTAAAACGCCCCCGTTGTCGTTTCCGTGTAAACACCCAAAACGGGAATCGTTGAAAACGGTGACGTCATGCACGTGCGTAGTACGTGTTAGGTATGTAGACATGCGCAGTACGTGTTGATTTTAAAGGCAAGCGAGAACAAACATACACAACAATGGCAGAGTATATGGTACTGTGGTTGCTGTTTAAGAATTTGCTAACGCTTCTTGAGCAAGGTGTGTATTTACTTCACCAATTTTACAACCAACAGTGGAGACGCATCATATACAACATATAATCTTCACTTCCCAACAGGTACTGTTTACTAACAAGGTGACAGCGCCAACTACTGGCCTGGCATACGTAATACAGCATTTTTGGCAGTTTTCGCGGATATGTGTAAATGGGAATCGTTTTGAAAATGTTGTCGTGTATACGTGAAAATTAAAAAAAACGCAAGGGAAAACCCTTTCCGTTTTTGACTACACCGTTGTCGTGTAAACGTAGCCATATTTAATACCTTTCTGTTTCAGGTATGGTACTGTATGTTCATCAAGTTACACTGTTTAATAACGCTTTCTATAGGCGAACATGCGATATACTTAACGCAAACTTAGTTTAAAATATATCAAATTGTTTTAAAAATATCCGTGCCTAACAATGCCCCTTAGTTCTTCTAATTTTACTGTAAACAACAGCTTCTTGGGGCTTATTGCTTTATTATTCATATGACTTTTCCGTTTTTGACTACATCGTTGTCGTGTAAACGTAGCCAAAGATAAAAGGAACAGACTGTTGTTTCAAGTTGCAGCCATCTTGGAATACACCAGGCAGCTACTTTCTATGTAGTTAACAGAGATACAAGTACAGCTTCTATCTCCTTGAATGGGGAATGACCAAAATCTCCAATGGTATCATTAATTTAGCTAAACCCTGCTATGAGTTGTATTTTTGAGGTTGGTCCGAGCAGAATGGCCACTATATGAGCACTATAGCTTAATGTGATGTAGCAGCACATGTACTGTACTAACTACTCAGTTGTGTACTTGAACAGTTAAAGTGGACACAAAACACACAGTTTGACAATCTCATGTTAATCTTGAGTAACTATTATTAGTAGTATTAGGGTATTAGTAGGGTAGTATTGCATCCTTCATATCTCCGAAGAATCTTTAGTTGTATCAGATTTATAAAAGACAGATACAGCTGTCGAGCTCCTGGAGGTGTGCTGTGGGTGGAGATAAAGAGTCACGAGCATGCAAAGCTTTTGCGTAGCGATCGTCTGCAAGCTGTGACATCGACACGAATGAAACGGGGACAGAAAAATGTATCGACTTAAACAATGGCTAACGAATTACCGTATGAAGCACGTTGATGGGTGTGCTCTTGCTCTCGCTCTGATTGATGTTTGCATGCTTTTCCAGGAGAAGTGCCCATATAAGGAATTCCACCCTTTATGATGTCATACAGGGTCATACTCGGATAAAAAAAACTTTACGAACCTTATGCGAATCCTGAAGGAGTGTCTTTGGCACAGAAATACTCCGTCATACTTCCAACTCGTTTTTGAGTCATGTTTAGCATGAGAATCCAACACTTTAACAGTGTAAATAAGTCAGAGTGCATGAAATAGCATTAGACATACCGTTTAAATTAATTTGCAGTGGTGTGACTAAATTAAATAAGTTTTGTTGCCAGGTCCCTGCTAAGTCCTAGATGTATCATGGCACTCACAGTTAATCACAGATCCATGCTCACCCTCTAATTATCTTGTTTTTCCCCAAGCGACATTGTGCTGTGTGGCTTTGGCATATCTGCACCCCATTGTGTTGGGGTAAAGAATGAGGTTCACATGTGAGGAGAGGAAGTGCAAGGAGAAAACACGTTCTTCCGTCTCAATTTAGATTATTTGGCATTGGCACACCCCGGTCTGGCGAACGTGCTCCCGAGTTCTCCATGTCATAGTTAGCGTTAACAATGTGTAACCAGAGCTACCAGAGCCAGCTGCTCAATTTGTAACCCGTCCTACGCCGCAACGCTTGGACGTGGGTGCAGCGTTTGGGCAGCTCCCTTGCTTTGGTTTTCCCACCGTGGAAGCTAGAGTTTTGAGGCTGTGGTTGGAGCATTCCTGAGCCAAGTCTGGTTCAGTGGCTCTCTGCGGGTGCTTGACTTCAAATGTGGAACTGGGTCATAAAGACTCTGTGGGGCGAAGATCAGAGCAAGATTCCCACACCATCTACAGGTCTCGCTCAGCTCTTTATACACCTCGTCCCTGCTG